CGCCAGCCCTCTCTGGCCTTAAGTCGGGCATGTCCCCCATACAGGGGGATATTGGACGAAAATCAGAAAATACTTCAAACATATTCCCAGATGGCCAAAAATAGTCAACAAGTCGTCCCCGGACTATTTTTGACTATTTTTGAGGTGACGTGCCCGACTTGACTCTGGCCTCTCCTGCCGCCGTGCCCCGCGCGCCAGTGGACCTCGACTGCGCCGTGGGAACCCCGGTGCTCGCCATCTGCAGCGGCACCGTCCAGGAGGTGCAGGATGCCCCGCGTGGCTCGCCGCCTCGGCCGTCTGCGGGGGGCACGAAGACACGGTCATCCTCGGGAGCAGCAGAGACCCCAACCCTAATGTTAAGTCGGGCGTGTCCCTCTACAGAAGAGAGGTTCAAACATAGGAGAAACAAAAAGGTCAGAGGACGTTTTTTTTTTTTTTTTTTTTTTTTTTTTTTTTTTTTTTTTTTTTTTTTTTTTTTTTTTTTTTTTTTTAAAAAAAAAAAAAAAAACAAACATAAAAAAAAGTATGTTTGAGCATTTGTTTGATTATGTTTGGGGGTATCTTTAATGATTCGTCCCAAATCCGCCTGTAGGAGGACACGCCCGACCTAACCCTAATGACACAAGCAGGCGTAGCCCTACTTGGGCCCCCGTCTCTGCACTGGGGATACTAGGCGGTTTGGTTCGAGTTGCATCTGCTTAGGGGACGCTTATCCCTAACGGTTGTGGGCCTCTTCACTGAGGTCCGCTCCCAAAGGGGTAGGGGTCATCTAATTGCTGCCGTCAACGCGCACAGTGAGGAGGAGCAACTTTCCAAGGTTACCCCTGGCATCCCTCCCCTTTTGCCCGTCGTTGGCCGCTTTCGCCGGCCGCGCCCCACTCGCAAAGCGGCGACATGGTCTTCAAGGGCCCTTGAATCCTTACAGTGGAGACTCATGCCAAGAAGCATCCTGCTCGCCTCCAGGGTGCCCTGGGTTTCTGTGGTTTTGATGGTTTTGCGATGGAAAGCGTGAGTTCCCCACACCAGAAATCAATGAACGTCCTGGGGTCTCAGGGTTGGGTTTCTTGTGGAAGGTTTCTTGTGGACTGGCCTCCACTGTATCGTGCGTCCTAGTTGAGCGGGTTGACTGCCATAAGGCCAGGAGCGTTTGCTCAGCGTGTCGCGGCGCCGCCGGCCGACGGCGTTTCCCCCTTGTGCGGGGCGCCTTGCCCAGGGGCAGCGCCCGAGGGGGCAGCGCTCAACGGCGGCCCTCCCTGGCGCTTCTCGCGCCCTGTGGACCTCCTGGAGGCTTCTCGTCGCCTCGGCTGGATCCGCCTCGAAAGCGGGTCGGGATGGACCCCCCATGAGGGGCCCAGGTACCGACATGTTGTGGGTTTGGGCTGGGCGGGGTGCCTGGCTCAGGGGCAGCGTTGGGGAAGGGGGATGTGGTAGGAACGCGTCGCTCTGCCGGTTCTGGCCCACCACGCGTTGGCCGGCGCGACACGCGAGCCACGCCCCGGTCCTCAGGCGTCAACGTCCCAAGCCTGACGTCGGGCCTGTCCCTGTATGGGGGGAATATTCACAAATAGTAAAGAAATAGTCTGGGGACCATCTCTCGATCATTTTTCCCCAATCAGAGCTTGCCTCTGTAGGGGTCCTGGCGAATTCATATGGTTAGGTGAGGTTCGTCGCCATTTTCGGTGGCTGGACTGGGTGCCCGGGTGCCCGGGTGCCCGGGTGCCTGGGTGGCCGGGGACGCCCGGAGGTGCCCGGGGGTGCCCAGAGGTGCCTGGGGGTGCCCGGGTGCCCTGGTGCCCGGGTGCTCTATCGCCCTATAGCCATATAACAATATAGCCCTATAGCCCTATAGCCCTGATAGCCCTATAGCCTTATAGCCCAATAGCCCTATAGCCCTATAGCGTTATAGCCCTATAGCCCTATAGCCCTATAGCCTTGTAGCCCTGTAGCCCTACAGCCTGATAGCCCAATCGCCCTATAGCCCTATAGCCCTCATAGCCCTACAGCCCTATAGCCTTGCAACCTTATAGCCCTATAGCCCTACAGCCCTATAGCCCTCTGGTTCTATATGTCTATAGCCCTATAGCCCTATAGCCCTATAGACCAATAGCCCTCCTATAGTCCTATAGCCCTATAGCCTCATAGCCCTATAGACCTAAACAGATTCAGATTGGGTATTTTTCTCCGGTATCACTGAATCTGTTTGAACATTTGTCGATTTTTTTTGGTTTTCGCCCGAAATCCGCGCACGGGTGTTGCTGGGGCCGCCGCCGCGGCACGCTGAGCAAATATTCCCAACTGTAGTGGCGATTCGCCCTCCGCTGTCTGGGCTGCAAGGGCGCTGTGCCTCTAGCCGTGGATGGCGATGACGGCTACAAAAGATTGTGATGCTTCTAATGGGGACGGTTGCGATGGTGTCGATGATGAGAATGCTGATGCTAATAATGCTGATGCCTGTGTTGAGGGTAATTGTGGTGTCGATGACTATCATGATGACGCTGAGGATGTGTGTGTTGATGATGGTGATGATGACGATGATGATGATGATGATGATGATGATGATGATGATGATGGTGATGATGCTGATGATGACGATGCTGATGCTGATGATGCTGATGATGATGACGAGGATGATGCAGATGAGGATGAGGATGAGGATGAGGATGAGGATGATGATGATGACGATGATGATGATGATGATGATGCTGATGATGATGATGATGATGCTGATGCTGATGCTGATGCTGATGCTGATGCTGATGATGATGATGACGACGACGATGATGGTTGTCATGATGGTGATGAGGAGTATGATTTGGAGCTCTGACTTCTGAACCGTTTTATAGTTAGTCTCCCGTCCAGAGCCCGCTGTTTCTGTTATCAACTGAAGAGCCCCCCTTCAGCTCTCGTAGCATGTTTTTGTTTCGGCGGGAAGTATTCTGGCTCACACTGTGCCCCTGGGCCCCAGGCTACAACACGAACGGCTTCTGCTTCAGAATTCTTCAGATCTGCCCAGAATTCGTGCTCTCGCTCGAGGATTCCTTGCAATCCGCCCGATCCGCCCGTGAGGGTCCGCCCGCCTGACCCGCACATCAAGGTCTCCTGTAGCCTGTGGGGGGCCTCTTTGGGGCCTGCTTGCGGACTCGGGGGCCATCTTGGGGCGAAGGGCTCGAAATGTCGGTTCGTGTTCCCTCTCTGTGACCTCTCGTAGGCCGCCCTTGGGAGCCTCTTGGGCAGTCTTGGCACCGTCTTTGGCCGTCTGGGGACGCTCTTGGGGGCTTCTCGGGCCGTCTTGGTGCGATTTTGTGGGATTCTTGGGCGGTCTTGGAGCGTCGAAAGCCCGAAAAGGCGAGAGCACTACAACCCATTCAAAACCAATGGAAAATCAGTGACTTTGGCATCTCGGGGCCCTCTTGGGGCGGGCCTCTTGGAGTCCTCTTGGGGCGCTTTTGGGCCCCCTCGGGCGGTCTGTGGTGGGTGATTGTGAGCGTCTTGGAGCGATATTTGGGCGACTCGGGGCCATCTTGGGCCGTCATGAGGGCCTCTTGGGCCCTCTTGCCCGTCATACGGGGCCCCTCGGGCCTCTGGAAACATCGTGCGGGTAAGCCCAGGAACGCGCGAGAGCGCCCGGAAGATTTGGGCTTTCAGGCCCCCCTCCCCTCAGTTTAATCTTTCGGTATTACAAAAACAGAGGCCAGAGAACACTAGAAGCCTGGGGAACACTCCACTTCGTGACTCGAGGAACGATGTCAACTACATATGTATGCATGTATATTTGTCTGTCTGTCTGCCTGTCTGTACGTATGTATGTATGTATGCATGCATGCATTTATGTATGCATGCATGCATGTTTGTATGTATGTATATCTATATGCATATATGTATATATATATGTTTATGCATGCTAATGAATGTTTTTATGTGCGTGTATATTTATGTTTATGTTGATGCTTATGTTTATGAACTTATTCATGTTTTATGTTCAGGTGTGTATGTTTGCACGCATGTATGCATGTATGCATGCATGCATTATTCTATGCATGTAGATATGTCTGCATGTATGCATGTACGCATGTAGGCATCTGTGCATGCATTCATGTGTGCATGTATGCATGTATGCATGCATGCATGCATGTACATATGCATGTACATATGTATGTATGTATGTATGTATGTATGTATGTATGTATGTATGTATGTATGTATGTAGATAGGTAGGTATATAGGTAGGTAGGTAGGTAGGTAGGTAGGTAGGTAGGTAGGTCGGGAGGTATGTATGTATGTATGTATGTATGTATGTATGTATGTATGTATGTATGTATGTATGTATGTGGGTGTATGTATATATGTCTGTCTGTCTGTATGTATGTATGTACGTATGTATGTATGCACGCATGAATGTATGCATACATGTATTTGTGTATGTGTGTATGCTTGCCATGCATGCTTGTAGGTGCGTATGTCTGAACGAACAGATGCCTGTCTGGCTGTCTGCCTGTCTGTCTATCGGTATGCCTGTCTGTACGTCCGTATGTATGTATGTATGTGTGTCGTAGATGTGAGCGTTTGTTTGTTTTTTTGTTTGCTTGTTTGCATGAACGTATGTATGTATGTGATTATGCAAGTATCTGTATGCGTATGTATGCATGTATGTGTGCATGCATGCATGTCTGTATGCATGCATGCATGTAGGTAGGTAGGTAGGTAGGTAGGTAGGTCGGCAGGTAGGTAGGTAGGTCAGTAGCTATGTAGGTAGGTTGGTAGATATGTACGTACGTATGTACGTACGTACGTACGTACCCATGTACGTTTGCACCTATGCACGTATGTATTTGTATTCGGGCCATTGATTTGGTTTTTCTCTCATGGCGAAGTTGCCTGATTGCATTGCTATTGTCTCTGCACGTTTGGTTCCGTCATCTTCGCCGCATCCTCTTCTGCTTCATTCCCCGTGCTCATTCTCTTCCTTTTGTTCTTCGGCTTGGTCGTTTTCCTCCAACCATTCTCATCCTTGCGCTCGGCTCTGCTTCCTTGTTTTCGGCGGCCGCCATGGCCATGCAGTCAGGACTCCGAACGCGTCTCCGGGATTGATGTGCGGAACTTCTTTCGCTGGAACCAGGTGACTGTGCTCCAGGAGGACGGGTACGTAGTGCGGCCTGGGTGGCAGAACAGACGGCGTGCTTCTCACCTCCTCGTCGATCCTCCCCTTGCTTTTTTTGGCAGTCGTACGGTGTTCTGTTCGAAGTTCTTGCGCGCGCATTTTGAGGAGATCGAATCTCACAGAGCCATGCCTGGTATCTAGTGGCTTTCGGCGCCGCCAGCGTGCCTGGGTTGTGGAGCAGAGGCCTCTTGAACGCCTCTTGGGGTCTCTTGGAAGCCTCTTGGGGGCCTCTTGGGGCCCTCCTGGGAGTCCCTTATGGGGCCTTTTGAGGCCTCTTGGAGGCTCCTCTGGGGCCTCTTGGGTGGTATCTTTGGCTCCTCTGGGGGTCTTGGGCCAAGCTTGAAGGGGCGGCTTCCAGCGACGCGGCGGCGGCGCTCTTCGTTGGCCCCTCTTGGGGCGTTCTTTAAGACCTCTTGGGCAGCCTTGGATTCTTTCATATCGAAAAGGCGAGCATGTTGAAATCATACAGTCGACCCGCATAGCAAGGATGGGCAGCCTTCCCGAGGATACCCTCGCATCCTTGCCTCCTCGGTCCATCCTGGGCCTCTTTCGTTAGTCGCGCCCCGCCCGAAAAGCTTCGAAATGGTCTTCCAAGGCCCTTTCATCCTCATCGCGCATCCTGATTATTCGGGTCGACTGTGCACCAAGTTGAACGATTTGGGCGTTTTTGGCCTCTTGGACGGGCCTCGAGGACCTCCACGGCGGCCCAAAGTGCCCCGAGAGAGCTTTAGCACGGCCCAGCGTGACCATCTTTGGATGTAAGGGCATGTTGGAAGTTCGGGTTCCCAACCACGCGTCCAGGGTTTCAGAAAATGCCACGCGCCACGCCCCAGAAACGCTAAGTTCTTTCGGAATTCGGGGGTCGCAGCTCCTTGGAGCGCATTTTTCAACCCTGAAAACACAGAGCTCGAAGGGACTTGAGCACGCGCTACTTCGTGCCTTGCGGCACGGTCGCTGATTCGGATCAAGAGCGTCCACCACGGATGGTAATTACCAGCAGCATCGCCGACCTAACACACACATATATATAGGTATTTAAGTTCATACCTATATAATGTATATTTATATATGTATATATCAGAAACAGCAGAGACAAGAAGAGACCACATGTTCAACATTGTCATTCGGACATCGGTCGGAGTTGTGACAGGAACAGCTAAATGACCAGTGTCACACTGACATGCCCGCTCATATCCTGGAACCTGCTAGTCGTACCCGTACGTGCTGTCACCATAGCTATGATATGCCATCAAAGTGATCTCGGCCACAATCACCACCGCGACCCCGACCACCGACGTACTTCGAATCACATCAAAGATGCCATGGCTGCCCCTCCACTTACTGTTGCTGCTGCATCCTCCGTAGCCACTTCGGCTGAAGGCATTGCCGGGTATCCTTTTCGTGGTTCAATGTTCGGTGGTTGCGGGATGTCGCTTGGCAGGTTACGACTTGTGCGTCTGTTTCGAGGCCACAGCCTTGGAGGTCGTTGTGTCTTTCTCCGGCGAATTACAGGTGTGGATAGTCGACAAAAGCTGGCGGAGCGATCTAGACTTGGAATTATGGACGATTATTTTCAGGACAAGCCAGAGAAGAAGGCGTTGTTTGAAAAGTTACGGAATCCAGAGCGGAGCCCTGAGCTGAACAAGTTGACGTCAAGGTTGAAATTTCTAACATCGAAAGGCAAGTTTGAGGAAGCGTGGTCTCTATATGAAAATGCTGGTGACGCCGACGGGACCATCCACAATGCCGCTTTGCGCCTCTGTGCCAGGGCGATGTGGTTCCAGCGCGCCATGGAAATTTGGGAAAGTATGCCGAGGAACGCAGTCTCGTATTGCAGCATGATCGACGTGTGCGCCCGTTGCCAGAAGCTTTCTGCAGCCGAGCTGGTGTTTCGCCAAATGGAAAATGCTGACATCGAGCGCGACATCGCAATATACAACGCCATGATCAAGGCTTGTGCTATGTGTGGTGAGCAACTGCAGGCAATCAAATACTTCAGATGTATTCCATCATCAGTCATGCGCCAGGCCAGTGAGGAAAACAAGCAGATCGCGTACCAGTCCGTGATGATCGCTGCGGCTCGATCTGGCGATTATTCACAGGCCCGAGAATACACACCGCTTTGCGGAACGCAGGGGACATTCAGCGGGTGTCTTCTTGGGGTTCCCTTAGGGCTGTTTGTTGAGCTGTTTTGGGGCTATCTTGGGCCGCCTTGTGGCTCTTTGGG